AGTTAACTAGGTGAAAGGGATGGTTAATTTAAATAAATATCAGTCTTAAATGGACATTTAAAGTTTTAAGTATAAAAATATCCAAAATTGGTTAAAGCTACCAAAAACTGCTGATAAACACTTAAGTAAAAACAAAATCTATTGCCCGAACTAAATCTTTAAAAAATGACATCCTTACGACATCAATGTCTTTAGAAATATCCAGAATATAACTATCTTAATATAGCTAAACATAATTGAATGGAACAATGTTGTAAGTGGGAGAAATGTTTCCGTGGTGTTGCTTTTAATGAGGATATACCCTATTTTTATATTGCAACCAAAGTCATAAAAATTACTACTCTCTTAAAATAAATTAGTCAAAAATAACTAATTATAAGTCATATTTGTCTAATTGTCATAGCGAAAAAGCAGTTACTAATAATTAGTCAAATTCTACTGAATGAAATTGTCAAATTAGTAGATTTAAATTTAAAAAATGTTTTGCCCCAGCCGGGGAATGAACTCGGGTTTTTGTTATCTACGGTCTGTCGCTTGTCAAGCTGTTGTCATAACCCATTTGGCTATCAGCCGCTCTTATAAAAATCAATTTTATTTGTCAATAAATCGTGGGCGTACAAGGAAAATCGGCTGTCCACTTTTGCTATAATCGCGAAAATAAAATTACTATAACACCATATAAGTCCAAACGCGCATATTAATGGGTTTGTAACTATCTGTATTTTGACTAAGTCCATATTTCTGTAATACTCAACATTAAGAATCCACCAAGTACATTTAGTAAATTTTTGATATATTCTACAGCATATTATTAAGTCCAAATTTATATTGAAAACTAACAGAAAAAATACTTTAAGTCCAAATGTTTATAACAAAAATATAAATAAAATCGTTCATTTAAATATGTTTTTCATCTAGTCATCAATAATTACTTTTAATTAGATAAAAAATCTATATTAATGTAATTTAAAATATTTAAAATAAAAAATCGATTTTATGCATTTAGGTTAGTTTTAAAATGCGTTTTTCTCAAAACTATAAATTATGGACTTAGCCGATTTTCCTTGTACGTCCACGAAATATTGTTCATAATACTTTAAAGTTGAATATATTATTTGTGTTGCTGTTTTGAGCTAAACTTTTTGCATCTTTATGTGCTTTGATGGGCCATTTAACCATGAAGCCTAGGTATATGCGTTTAATTCAAATAATACTTTGTTGTTTGCCGCAAATGATTAAAGAAATTAGTTACTTTTAACTCTCAGAAATAGTCAAAGATGGTGACTAATCTTAAATTAGTCAAACTTTAACTATTTACGTAGTAAAAAATAACTATTTAAAAGTGAAAACGACTATTTTATTAGTAAAAAATGCTGGTACTAATTCAAATAGTATAATTTTGACTATTTCATTTTTAGAGGGTAGCTTCCTTGTGTCATAGCGTTTGCAAAATAATTAAAATTGCTAAAGTAATTGTCAAAAAAATATCAAAGAATTTCAACCAGTAACGTGATATTTCGCAAATACACACCCTGTTACTATTTACAGCAATGTTAAAAATTTAAGCAATCAGCTGTGATTACAGTTAAAAATTTCGTGAAGTTGTTTCCAGAGCAAATTTTGCACTAAAAAAATATCTACTCATTCACTGACGTTATCGCGAAAATGTTTTCCTCTTGAACCGATTTTTATCTGTTTTTGAACTCACGGGAATTATTTCTAATCCATAATGTAATTCATTATTAGTTTATACTCACTAATTATTCTTTCCACCTGTATCGAGTTTTATTGGAGGCATTTTTAATAGTTGAAACTAATAATAAAGCTTCACTTTCATTTTTTGAACATTAGAGACAAAACACGCGAAACAGCAAGAATGAGAAAGATAGAAAATACTGTAAACGCAAAAAAAGCAACAGTTTGGTACAGGTGTGTTACACACAACAGGGCTACCCGACACTGATGAGGCCCAAAAAAGATCAAAACAGTCTGTCTGTCCTTGCCTGGTGAGAAACACTAATCTAGTTTTAAGTCTAGTCTTTGAAATTTTGACAAATTTGTTGGACAATAAACTTCGGTGAAAGATTTTATTTTTACTATGTTTATCAATGTTTTAAAGTATAATTGTTATTTTAGTATTTTAAAATAAAATATCCATTTAATTATTAAAACTATAAATACCTATTTAATTTATTAAACTCATGTTTATTTAACACGGCTTTTAAACGCAAGTTAATTATATTTTAATGCATAAAGTGGCTTGCTCCACTGATCAAGTTATTCCATTAAAGTTACATAAAGTTAATTGCCAATACTCCACAGTTTTTTATAAAATTATTATATTATTATTATGATATTCCAGTAAGTCTTTTTAGCATGGTGAAAGCAATATTACATCTGTCACCATATAATATTGAATTGCTGCTTTACTTTTTAAGACTGATATTTCTTACTTAAAAGTGTATAGGTACTTAACACTCATGTGTTGCTTAACTAAAGTCATGTTTATTTTAATCACCATTCTTTCACAATAAATCCATACATTTTCATTAATTCCTATTATCGTTAGAAATGCGAACCACGTAAGTTTTAAGTGGATATTTTCTACAAAAACATCCCAAAATTTGCATGGATCTCACGTTTAAACATTTCCTAATATAAAAACGCATGATTACATTCGTAGTTATCTTTTGCCTGTTCGCTTTTTACTGCTTTTTTCCCGACTAATTTTATTTTTTTCCAGATCTAACAAAAAGGTACGTATACGCTGTTAACAATCTTTTTATTTATTTTAACTTTAATCATAATACGTAAGTAACTAATCTGTATATAAAATAGTGCTTGAGAATTTATTTATTTAATTATGTTGTATATATTATTTGTTATTATTTATAAACATAAAATTTATGAATTTGGTTCGTCATGTCTGAGGTTCTACAAGCACTATTTGACTCTATTTTCATTATAACTATACTACTTAATAATCATCTTATCTTAACTATTCATTAAAATTTTGCACAGCAAAATTTTGACATCTATGTTGATTGGGTCTTACTTACTCTACTTAATGTTTATTGCCAACTCCTACTTACAAAAAAACCCAAATTCCTCCCCAGACATGACAAATACCAAAAAGACTGACAAACCAAGGAAGAAAGAAGAAACAAGAAGAAGATACTATTTAATGTAATATTTGTCTAATATATTTATATAATTGTGTACTAATAAAGTTTAATACGCGAAAATATAAAAAAAAACGAAGAGGAAAGAATTTTAAACAATAAACAAAACAGAAAACAAACAATGCATAATAAATGCATTGTTTATTGCATTTTTAAAACAAAACATCTAGAAACAATTTGTATTATAATTATGTTAATAAAATAAAAAAAAAGTATATCCTATTTTTAAAATTAACTCATTCATAATTAATCTCATGAAGAGTGAAAGGATTGTAAAAGCTTTCACAAATCGTAACAGTCATATTATTAAATATTTTATAAATTGTAATAAATAAGATTAAATCTAATTGTTAATTACACAATTTTTTTGATACCCGAAGACATGGATACGGAGTTATGGTAGTGCAAGAAATTGGGTATTATTTTGTTAGAATTTGTTTCTTAAACAAAAAGAATGTTGTTACCATCACCATTTAAAGCTTTGAATAAATAATTTCTTACAAAAATAAATGATAATAATAATTTACAAGTACATAACTTAACTAAAAAATAAAAGAAAATTGTTTCGCACAGATACAATAAAGATACAGATTAAAGCTAATAGTTGAGAAATCACTTTTAATTAACCACTCTGTATTAGTTATTTAGTTTTTTTGTGATTATTTATTTACCATTACTTGTTTAGTAACAATTATCAATAAGAGAGTATGAGAAATTGTTTTATTATATGTAAATGAAGTACTTACTATTAATAATAATTATCTTGGGAAAAATAAAGGCTTGAAAGCCATTAATTAAGATCATTGACTGCAACAAACTAAGAGCAAAATAAATACTTTACATTTGTTTAATAAACCAGAATATATTAATCATTTCCAATTATATTAAGATTTAAGTAAATCCTTGTTTTGGTAAATTGGCTGATATATTATATTTGACTAAATTAAAAAAAATGTGAAAAAATTATTTTTCTTCTTACAATTTTTTAAGACCTGTGAATAGAGAAGAGAAAGTAGAGGTTTTTTATAGTTATAGCTAGGATATATTTTAATTATCTTTGGTTAAATTATGAAAAATTAAGCTTTTCATGCCAATCAATGAGCTAAAAAGAAATGTGACCTATTTTATTTAAAAAAACGGTTGTAGGCAGCCTTTTATAATTCAGACTTTCCTAAGGAAACTTAAGTTTTCAAAATATTTTTGCTAGCTTTTAAAACTTACAACTAAAAAACACCCTGTATATTAAGAATATAAAGTAAAAATAACAATAATTACTTTTTAATTAATAATATCAGTGTTATAGTCATTTATTCTGTGGTTGAATTCGATACACGTTCTCATTTTTGGGAAAGTAAGGTTTTAAAGTTATAAAACACACAACTACTAGGTAAAATTATGTTCTAAATAGAATAAATTAAAAAAAATATTATTTAAGTTTTTGTCTTAAAATTTTATTTTTCACGCCAAATCCAATGACATGGATATGTATTTTTTGTATTTAATAAACTTGTTAAAATTTGTTAATTAATAATTATATTAATTAAGATTATCTTTATAAGCAATCTGATTTTTATAACACATGTTTTTGTTATTGTGTACCTATTAATTTTATCATTTAATTATCATATTTATCCATGCATAGCACAGAAATGCACCAACATAAATTTATACTTAGTATGTAGTTATTTCAGGGACATATTAAACTTAATAATATATTGATATTATAGCATGGATAGTGTACATACTCGTATATAAAGCAGCTTTTAAAATACTGCAAAAGTAAAGTGTATTAATTTTGTCGTTTTTATTTATGTTTAGTTGGTAGCTGGTTCCGGAGCCACTGAAGAATCTGACGAAAAACATAACTCCCCCGGAGGAATCGCCGAAGTAGACATTGGTAAAACTGCTGATGGTTACACCGAAGGAATTCCCGGACCCATCACCCGTCTCTTTGTTGTCGCCAACAGAGGAATCGCTAACTTAGTGCAAGATTTAATCTTAGTAAGTAAAAGAAAAAAACGTTAAATATGATTAATAAAATGAGTGAGGATTACAAATTGTAAAAAAATACATGGACAAATTACATTAAAATTTTTGACATTTAAATTTAAATTATAATTCGGATCAATCAAACATGGTTAATAACATTTTTCATAAGTACTTCGATAATTTTTTAAGACTTCTTATAATATGGATTTTTACCTGTCAAAGGCTATTTCAGTCTATTTCTTGTCACTATAACTTATATAACCTTTATGACCAAATGTATAACAACCCACCATTGTATTTTACTATTAAAACCCACGTTATTAATTCCTAAAAAACACATGCATAATATAGGTATAGAACCCAAAGTTGCAATAATGGCGAATGCGCCGGGATTAAAAGTTAATATTTATATTCGTATTTTTATCAGGTATTTAATTTAAAAAGTATATACTTATATTTTTGCAAATTAAATTAATTACAAACTTGCCAAACTATCGTAATTTTTAAAATAACCTGGTGTACAAATTTCTATTAAAAAGGTTTGAAATTAATTTTCAATTCAATTTTTATTGCAATTTTTTACTTTAAAAAGTTTATTTAAACTAAAAGGCTATTACTCAAAAATGAAGCTACTTTCTAGTTTTTACTACAAAACCTTTTATTTGCAGTATTTGACTAGCATACACTGATATGATCAGAACAGTTTAACCCCAATAAGTCAATATTAAATAATATTATTTCCAGTCAATCTGGTTTCTTTTATAATTAAAAGCAGAAATTTCAGTTTTTACAAAATCCAACCTAAAACTTTTTTAAATTATTTCGGTTAGTAATAAACCTTGGCATACATACATGCTACAATTAATCTTGATAACGCAAAATGAATTAATTGAGTATTCATTATATTCTTGTAGTTATTACTTAACGCCTAAGCAACATAGTCTGGCCAAATCCTGTTTTATTTATTTAATTAAAAGAAATATATTGCAATTGCAGTCACCAAAGGCAAAGCAAGGAAATTTATAACCCTGTACTGCATACATTAGTTTAAGCCTTATTAGTCTTATACATATGTACGTTTTCGTTTTTATACACAAAATGTATTTGAAATAACATTTCGAGGTCCCTAATTAGACAAATAAATAATATAAAATACTAAAATCAAAAACTACGACACAAGGGATGCTTTTATGGCTCAGGAAACTGTTTCCAGTAATTTAAGACTGGGCAAAAAATATACTGCATTTGTTGTATTTTTAAATAAGACTGATTTTTTCCCGTTCGCTAGTTTCATTAAAAATTCTCATCAATAATTTTCACAAAATTCTAAAGACATGGTCAATTCTGAGATAACACGTAGTAGGTACCACTCAAGAGTTCTTTACTTTTGCATTTTTCATTAATAGTAAGAAAATCAAAAGGTAAGCTGGTTCTTTCAGTAACAATATTTTGTATACTAAGTACATGTTGTCTCTTAAATCAATAAATAAATGTGACGTGGATAATTGCAATTTTAGATTGTAGGTTTTTTACCACCATTTCTCTACTTTTTGTCTCCCGCTGTCTCTTTGTGTAGTTTTAAGTTTAGCACTACTTGATCTCAACTAGGCACCTTATATTTAATAATTTAAATTTAATACGAATAATATAATATTAATCATATACAATAGGTGGATTATTAAATTTGGTCTTCTCAAACATTCAAAAAGCCTATAACTTTTGTTTTTAACAACCTTCCTATAAAATTATACTAGACAAAAGTACTTATATGTATATTTACTCAATGTTATTATGTTTTAATTTATTATGTTATAATAAAAAGATTTAAATTCCATTAATATTTATTATTCAAGTATGTTAAACTTAAATAAGGCTTTATTAACTTAACTTGTTTAAATATTTAGTATTTATGTTATGCTTGATGAATACGCAATCAACAATTTAACATTGCCCAACTACCTGTTAATTAGCCCACTATTAAATAATAAAATAAAAAATTCTTTCGAAATTCGGTTTTTATATGAATCGATATTTATAAGTCAAAAGTTAAATTTTACGGTTATTAAAACGAATAAATATTTTGCAACAACTTTATATAATATATATTATATATGACAAACATTGATACCGTTAATGAATTATGTAATGGTTTTAAACAAATTATAACAAAAATACTATAAAGTTAAATTGTTGAAAAGTAGGTGCAAGAAACCTACCGACCACTACACTTTTTGGCTTTAGAGATGTTCTGTTCCTTAAAATTTTCTCAGTTCCCACATTGTATACTCGTAGAAGAAATAAAATAAAAATTCTTGATTCAAAGAAATGTTTATTAATTTTTTTTTTCTTTTCAGCGTCTCGCCCAGACAAGCGAAAGATTAGTGAACTTCAAAGCTCGTTTGGTAACATCCCTTATCTAAGAAAAGAAACTCGAAAACTGCCATCAGAAGTAATAAAATCCCAGTAAACTAGTGACACGCCACCTGTCCACCTTGATTAACCCCATCAGAAGAAAAACACTTTCGCTGCCATCCTTGATAACGATAGATTAATATTAGTTTAAAATTATTAACAAATAATCGATTTTAAAAATGTGTAATATTTATCGTGCCACAGGGAGGCATTGCGTGACTGTTACATATTTTTGTTATGACGTGTCACCTTTATTAAATCCGTTTTAAGTTTATTATTTATCATCTTTATTGTTGTTATTTAAATTTATTTGTATATAGCTACTGTGTGCTTTTTTCTTCAAGGTATCAAGGTATCTTGCCATTCCTACTTCTTCTATTATTTCCTTTCTATAAGCGCTTAAATTCATTAAATTAATTTATAACAAACTTATAAAATAATTTAGTTAATCTGGTGTATTTCAATTTTTCTTATTCCTTACATAGCTTTAGTAGTAAATTTATTTAAGGTTTTGACATTTGTTTAATAAATTCTTTTTATGTAAATAACCTGAACAATTGCTCAGTCTAAAAATTTTGAAAATGTAAATAAAACGTTTCTTTTTTTACTTTCCGAGCTCTATATGAATTTTTCGGTAAAATTTGTATGTAGTGTATATAATTATAGTTGGTAACTATATTGGTTGAAATTGTGTTATTATTGTAAAACATTAAATTAAGTTTTTGTAGAATAATATTTTATTTAAAAATATAATGTAGTTAGATAAATAAATGTTTTATTACCTATTACCTATAATAAGCAAAATTACCGCTATTGGATTCAATTTACAAACCAAACTGGTTTTATAAATATAGGAATATTTCCTCAAAATTTAAACCAACACAAAAAAGTTAATTAAAGGAATCTGTAATATCGTAGGGGATTCACAACGATAATCAATATTAGATTTCTGGTTCAGCCGTTAGATGGTGTTGTTTTATTTATGAAACTACTTTATTAGAGTCAAGTATCACAATAGTAACTCTAGATGGTATGGAGTTTTAATTTTTTTATTTTATTATATAAAATTATAAATTATAAATCATTATAAAATTAAATTCAGGAAATGGAGGAATAAAACATGTAAATTTTCGATATCAATATTTTAATATCCATATCAAAAGCTACAATAGGTTTTTTAATACATTTTCTCTAACTTACAACTTTGGTAGGATCAATTTACAAACTAATATATAACTTAGGTACGTATAAAATACATATTTGGATGCATATTTGCACATAAAATATAATACAATTAAGTAGATATAGTTTAACATGGTATATTACTGAAATAGTGCTAAAAATTCTTAATAAATTTAATAAATATTATTGAAATAGTGCTAAAAAGTTCTTAATAAATTTTAATAAATATTGAAAAAAGTAATACCTACAATTTATATTACCTACACTGTTGGTTTTCTTCAAAATGACTTAAAATATGTATCTACTGTTTACTTAAGCAATGTGATATTTTAGTACCTATAAAACACATGGTCATCAGTCTCGAATTAAAAATTAAGTACTCAATAATTAAAAAATAAAACAAAAACATTTATACAAACCATAGCTTACAACAAGCTGGTTAACATACATTACACATATAAGCTGTACATTGACACTTAAACTGATCAAGATTTAAATTTATATAATCGACTTACAGACTACATAATGTTAATATACAGCTGTCAATTTAAATATATTCTGACAGCTAAAATGTCAAAAATATCCATGGATAAACACAAGAAACATTTGTCATAATATAATATAAGTATAGGATATCCACAGTGTAATTTATAATTCGAATAAGTAATCTTGTCAGTTTGAATATGCCTTTTATCAAAATAACTTCTTTATAAGAAAGCACATTTGTAATACTTGTTATTTGGCACATATTGAAAATAGAAACACTCATGGAATAAACTTAAAAAGTAAAACCGGATGGTATTCAGTGTTCAGCAGTATTCAAACTGCTGAATGTTTTCCAATGATTTCTCCTGATTTTGTGTAGACGTGCTTGCCGTCATATTCAACTGAAGTCTGTTTTTCGTCAGTCAGATCGTTCTTGAGTGGTTCTCTCTCATCCCTACGAAAAGAATATTTTAATTTAAAATGATGTAACTAACAAGTTGTAATGATGTATACTACACATATTTTTGATTAAGAGTGATACCTACATAAACATAAGTAAACATAGTATCATTAAAAGAAAATAAATTTATTGTAGAACAAAAACATTATTTAAAAAAATGCAAAATAATATATTGTCTAAACCACTAATAAACAGGGTGTCCCAGAAATCGGGCAACACCTTAAATGTCTATATTTACACGCCCCCACAAATGAAATAAAAAAAAAATATCTTGGAAATGTGTTTTAAATGCTTATTCTGCAATTGTCTAAGACTGAATCATAAATTTCTTAATTATATTTCTGTGGAAAACTGGTATTTACAAATGGTTTAATTACGAAAAAACTGAAAGAGATAAAAAGAAAACGCAGGCAGGAACTTTAGTTTAAAATTAAAAGCAAATTAAAAAAATTAACAAGAATAATATTTTTTTCAGTAATGTTCCATCTTTTAATTAATAAAACCCTACGGTAATATCGCTGACGGTGGTCTAGTGGTTAGTGCATGCTGACTACAAGGCGGAGGTCGTGGGTTCGAATCCCACCAGGGGTATGGCTGTTTATTTGTGTTTGTCCTATTGTGTATTAGTCCTTCGGAGGGGACTTTAAGCCCGCGGTCCGTTCCTACCCCTAACCAGCACAAGCCATTCAGTTGGCTTATGGGACTTCTTAAGAAGTAAGGGTGGAACTAAAAGAGCACTTTTGTATATAAACTTTTTGTATATCTGTATGTACGCCATTGAGCAACCTACAAATTCATGTTTTTTTATTCTACCAGGGCCATAGGTACAGTTATTGATTAAAAACATTTTTTTTTAATGTTTAACGCCCTGTAACATGAAAACAAAACCAGTAGAGCACAAATGCATATAAAAAATAACTTATAAATATATTTTTTACTAGGTACTACTATTACTGCAGACTGTTTTATTTCAACATTTCCGGGACACCTGTATAATAAGTATATTAACCTAACCCTCATAGTGTTCCCTGTATATAAAGAATGCATGGTTAATTATTTAAACTATACAGGGTCCATCAAGTATCCTTATATGCGTGGGTTTTTTTATTTGAAGAGCTAGAAGGACGGTTAAATTAGAGAGAAGTTGCGTAATTACAAGTTTATTGAAATGTAATTTAAAAATTGGAAAATGCTGTCCTCAAATAATTTGAAAAAAAAAATAAAATGTATCAAAACCAAAAACCGTCATAATTTCTTGGGAAATTTAAAAAAAAGTAAGCCAAACTAAGTTTTAGATGTAACTATATTTATCTACATTTTTATCCATTATTTTATTTGTTTGCCTACTAGAATCTGAGTTACCACCACCATCTTTTGTTTTTCCTATGATCGCCATATTGGAATTTTACATGGTTAGATAGAAAAAATAAGGACCTTGTAGGTTTTCAAATAAAAAAATACCCATACCATAAAAAATACACATAGAAGAAAACTTGGTGCACCGTGTATATAATACAAAATTAAAAAACATTTTTTTTCAACGGTTTTTGTTTTACTATTTTGTTTACTTTTAAAAACGTTTTAAACGCTACTTTGTATGAAAGTTTAAAATATTATTAATAAATAGAAAAAAATATATATAGGTATCGACTCATAATCAAAATACTGTAAAATTGTTAAGCTATAATAGGATTAGTAATAATAGGAATTTGACAACAATGAAAAAATATATTTACAAACATGCACAAGTTTTGTCACTTATTTTTTAATACGTGTAGGTTTTTTATGAAATACTTTTTACAAACTTTTTGAAATAAACATAATTTAAGCCTAAAACATAAGCTCTCACCCTACAAAATTATCTAAATTATGTTTTGATAAAAAACTTTTCAAACATGCTCCACCTAATTTAAGTTAAGTTTATTCTTGTGTTAATAAATTTAAAAAAAAATAACCTTAAGTATACTATACTGCTCAACTATGGAGAAAGGCAGTAACTGCTAAACAAGAAATTTGTGGGAAATTAGCATAAACTACATTTTTATAAAAAGCAGTAGGTATTTAATTGATTTATTTAACTTATGAGATAGTTTACTGCATTTCTTTGTTGAATTAAGACAAAATGTCCATAGATTTATCATAGCACAAGAAAAAGCATTTAGAATTTTTTTGTAGTTACTGCCTTTCTCCATAGTAGGGCAGTATAGTACTATATATACTATATATAGTGCTATAGCACTTATTCTTTTTCTATTTTTAGTCACGTGTTTTAATTAGGCACGAGCAAAGCTTGGGAGCGAGTGTTTAACAAAAAACGAGTGTCTAGAAAAGTTTATAAACAAGATGCCAACTACATCTGCAAACTATGAATTATCTACGACCTCACTTTTTCCCAATTTATAATAAGGCCAACTTTAGCCCGTGACTAAAACGCCATAAAATCAGTTTGTCAATTTTGAAGTAAATTGAAAATATATTAAACAAACCTAAAAATTTAAATACACACAAAAGCAAAGGGCAAAACACATTCAAGCTTTTATGTTTTAAAATTTTCAACAAGACATTCAGTCTTTTCGTTGGCCGTTTAATAAGTAAAATATATCATTAATTTAATAATTATAATTATGCAAAAGCAACGCAAACAATTGCTACAGGATCGTATTCTTCCATAAAAAATATAAGAAGGTTTCTATAGATGTTTGTATGTTTAGACAATCTAAAGATCATCATCATAGAAACTAGTTTTATTTTTTTTACAATTTACAGTTTTTATAAAAGTAATCTAATTTAAGCCTACAGGTCATCCAACATAAATTAATTGCAGCGCATGCGTAAAACTCTTTGTAATTAACAGGATGCATGTCATCAAAAACATGCCATGCGCATAAACGCACAATCAATGAAATGATCAGTGTCTTACGTGGGGGTGGGCACCAGTTTGATCGGCTGAGGAAGGTTCAGACTGCTGGGGTGGGCCGGGGCAGCTTTGTAACTGCAATAAGGCAGCGGAAAACGCCAACTGTATAGACTAAAATTCCCAAAACGTCGAAGTATGATGATATGTGTTTTTTGTATGATCATTGCTTGCCACAAAAGCTTTTGTGATTGTTGGAAAATAAATTATAGCAAAAAATATTGTCCAATAAAAAAAATATAATTTTGAAGTGTTGACAATATGTTTAACTATTTAGTAAAAGGAAGTAAACCAAATAAAAATTATTTACATAAGGTGTGGTGTTAGTGTAAATGGACGGTGTTAGTATATCTACGGTGCTTAAGCCTACTCAACACTAACAACCTTTTTTTAAGTCGTCAATGTTAAATTTGTTAAAAAAACTGTTTTACTTTTCTTTACAGATATATTTCATAATTAAAATTTACTGATAATATAAACGATAATTCACAATTTAATGTTTTTTTTACAAACCTAGTAAATTTAGGTAAGCAGTCTAATGTTTGACTAAAAAATTACATTGCAATGCAGTGATCCAATAAATGTCAATAAACGCTAAAGAAGTATCGGGTTTTCGCAACGCGCGCGCCATCTGGTGGACTTCAAAAGCATTGCGTGAATTTAAGAATTGTCGACAATACATTTACATCATTTTTAAATAAATAGGTAGTTTTTTCACAAAAGAGAGGAAGGCAGAAGTCTTACTCGACAAATTTTGCACAGTTGCACATAGGTACTTTAATTTAGTTTTAAAAACCAGGTTTTGTTTGTAATACCTATTATTATTACCTTTGTATAAGCGTGTGTTATATTTTAATAAATAATAATAAATAAAGGTATGTTATGTTTTAATTAATATACATGAATAAAAATTAAAACTAAGTTATAATTATTGGATATGTCCTATTTATATTTTAACAATATACTAAACGCAATAACACTTTACTATTTATATTGTTATATATTTTTTTTTAGTTTAGTCAAGTCAATTTTTTTTAAGTCTTATTAAACCTTCGGCTTCGGCTTCGGCCGAAGGTTACAACAAGAGCCGAACCTTCGGCTTCGGCCAAAAACTGACATTCGGTCGGACACTAGTTATATGTGTTTTACGTTGCAAGGAAAAAACTTAAAAACTGGTTTAGTACTCGATTTCGATTGATTATTCTTTATTTCATTGATTAAGAAACTCAACGCTTAAATGCTTATTTAGTTACGTTATTGTGTGTACTTTATCTAGGGGATCATGGTGAATTATTGTGTTTTTAATTGTAAATAAAATTCAAGAACTAAATCGTTGCATTTTCATGTTTTGTCAAAGGATCCAATTCGGTAAGTAGGTACATTTGTTGGTGCAGAATTAACTAATGATTACTTTACATAATATAATTTATATTTAAGTTTGGACATTTTTAAAAAATTACTAAAAAATAATTTTGCATAAACATAACCTTAAAATCAACCATTTTCATATTTCAAAAAACGCCGACAACTGCATTTTAAACAACAAAATATACCTACGAATTCATGGCAACATAATATTATATAAAATACATAATATAATGGTATTTTACCGTTAAGTGGAGAATTCTTAATCAAAGCTTTTAATATTGCTGTTTAAATTTAGACGACTTTGTTTGACGATTTTTACTGAATTGAAATGTTTACACTTTTCACGTTAATCATTACTAAAATGTGTATTTATTGTATCTAATAGATACAATTCATATTTACAGGGACTGGATGAAATTTATTTCTTTATTCGGATTAACACTGTTTATTGGAAAACCGATAAAAACTCAACCTAGGATTTCCTCTCTAAATACACCCAACAACACAACAAATCATGACACGGTTTTTTTTTTCGATATTTTTTAACGTTTTCCGGCTTTATTCTCAAAAAACTCGTTTGTAACTCACGCGTTTGACAGCTGATTATCAAAAGTTCTACTTGATGATAACAGCCGAGTGGTGGCGCTACTAGCGATATTTCTTTAGCGTAAAGCTTGATAACAAGGACACTGTGCGACAAAATCAATTTTACTAGAAACTAGGCCATAATTTTCAGGTTTATAAAGAATTATAACTTAAAATTTATTGAGTAAAAAATACTATTTTCGTTTTCCTAATAAAAAATACTACTAGTTTTAAGGATAGAACGGACGGATGTCAGATTGTCTAACTTACAGATGTCAGTAGTATACGAGGGGCGACTATAATGAAATATTTCCATTAAGAATACAAAAAACGAGTGTTTAAAGCAAATAACTTTGGTTTAAAGTAAGTCTTTTATCTCGTGGAAATGTTCAACTAAGCATCAAGCAGATTTTCTATCTGACAGGTCAGATTTTATACGAGGTATACGTCTAGCGACTATTATAGTCATACACCCTGTATAGTACATCATTAATTAATAGTTTAACTTTAACATATAATAAAATACGTATCTGTAAAAAGTAGTAAAGTCGCCTATATATTTAATACATATTTAGTAAGACAATTTACCTTCCAAGTTTGGGATCCTCATCATCATGATTTTTGGCCTTTCCTGCACACATGCATGCCAAAATTCCGGTTCGGTTCACGCAATAACAAGTTATGTCTACCATAATGAGTATCAAAAGAACTGCAGCTACCACAACACCGACAATTAAAGCACTGCTCATAGTAGGAGATTTCACTGGAACGACTGGATCGAGACCTAAACAGAATAAATAGGTTATAAAAGGTTTTAAACCTATACAAAACGCCTATTTTTACAATTAGTGAGTAAGTTTTTGATAAATATTTTAATTATGACATATTTTATTGCAACAAATTATATTATTATTACTCACCGATTGTAGAAACAGTCGTAGTAAGTTTTAGTATTGTTAGATCTAATAATGTTTTGTACTGTAGTTAAGTTTGCATTATTACAATGTTACTTGAAATAATCATGTGAAATGGCATTGAATACTTGATTACAGTACAAAGTGGAACAAACAATTATCTAGATATTTTTTCTCTAAACATAAATCAAATGGTTGACCTGTTGAAAATAACTTAACCAGTATATTTAATTGAAAGGTAACTCTAAAAATAAATACGTTACCAATCAATTCTGTTTGTGCAAAGTAAAATAATCTGTGTTTCAGAATCTAATATTTCTAAATCTAGATACTATAAGTACATGATTTAATTTATCATGCTCTAAATTTTTTTACAATAAACATTTATAATGGTAAAATATTCAATCCGTTTTTATTGATCGTGTAATGTTTAGTCCCATATTCTACTAACAAAATAAATAATTGACACACCCAATGGTAAAATATAGGACAATGTGTTGTTAGTTAACAAATGATTAGTGCCAAGCATGCTACAACATAAATGAAAATGCTAAACTAATCTACAAACTACAATCCAATCTGGACACGTATTTAAAACAAAAAAATGTTAGGTCCCAACTAAACTAGGGGGATTACTTCTTTAAAATAAATCATGCTTAACCAGACAAAATATTTTTTTGTTTTATTTTTGTGTCGCAATGATTTTAAGCTACGTACATTTTTAGTGGAATGTCCGGCTTGTCTCGATAAAACCACATTTCAAAGCTTCACTTAAGCCACTTTTACGTCAACACTTCACGAAAGCACAACTCAATTTTTAATACAAAAACAAAAATCAAACAAATTCTTTTTCTTAAATGAATTTTATTCATTCAAATTAAAATATAAATTGACATTTTTCAATAATTATTGTCCAAACTATATCGTAACACTGGATATTTAACTGGTTTTAATAATATTTTTTATGATGTTAAACTACACATTTAAGTAAAAAAACTAATGAAACATGCTCAACATGCTGTTACAACACAAAATACAAACAAATCAGGAGAACCTTTAAAGGTTTTGATTTACAAAAAAATGTTCGAAATTTGATCTCAGTCTTTTTGTAGGACAGATGAAATTTTGGTCTTAAATGTATTGGTATTAATTCATAATAAAGTTTTTGGTTGACCAAAAACTTTATACATAAATTTAAATATATATATATATATATATAAATATATATATATATATATATATATATATTTTTTCATCTGCCATACTTGTTCACATATAGATTTTATTTATTTTAAGACTTAATTTAATTAATTATTTAAGTAAACTTTATATCCTAATCTTTAATTTTTAAATATGGATAGAGGATGCAGGGTTACCAACTTGGCTAAACCACAGACCTGGAGATCGGAAAAAGCAGTATGATAAGGTGGGGAAGAAAAGAAGGTTGAAATTAGTAAATTTTTGTTTGGACACATAGACGCGCATTAGCAAGAGATAGGCGTTTATGTTTTTAATGAAAATGTAAAAGTAGGAGTAAAAATTTGGAATTTACAAATCACTTTCCTGTACCCGAAGGCTCCGGGTCAAAAATGCCTAGTTGGTACCCCTGTCGGGATGTCAAAAATTAGGGGATAACCACAATAAATCCTAATATCAGGATATCTTGTATAACTTACAATTGGCAGCATTGATTTATAATTTCTTTTTAAATTCTTTTCAACAAATTAAACTATTTTTCTTTATAAACTTTAAATTTATAACGTAAGATTTTATAATTTAATAATTTGTTCATAATATTATTATAATTTGTTAAAACGAATTTATTTTTATCACACATATCTCTCACACAGTACCATGCTACTACACCATGTTTACTTTTTAGTATAATATTAAATCGTTCTACTTAACTACTATGATATCTAGAATGTTAGTAATGAAACAGCAACCAACGAAAAATATCCAATAAAAACGGATTATAGATAAAACAGCTGCGGTAAATAATTTGTAAAAAAAATCAGATATATAAGAGTTTATTTGGTTAAAAAGCAGTTAATAACAACTATATTACTAAGTAGTGGGTTGTTATAAACATACTTTTTAGAAAATAGATTTTGCTGAAAATATTTAAAGCTTTTAGCACATGCGAAATATTTTATGGAATGTTGATAAGTTTCATGCAAGAAGCTCGTGAAAAGTGCAGTTTTTTATTTACCCAAAGAAATGATTCTGTTATTTGATGTATTTACCCTGTCTTATTACTTAAGAATGTTTTGCGAACTTCTTAAATAAACCCGAACTCTTCGCTAACCCAACAAAAAGTTTAAAGATATACTTGTATGTAGTAAAAATAAAAACTGCACATTAAGCTATGATAATGATCCTCTAAAATGCTTTAACCATTTATATATTTACATTAAAAATTTCATTTCAATAATGAAACACACATAAAATTTTAATATTTCGAAAAAACATTAATTCCCAGTCAATTTTTTGCTATTTAAAACCCTTTTATATGGTAAACACCAAGCACTAGTATTGTCATTAGGGACTGTAGAAGGTAGTTGTTAGAAAGATGCGAAGAACTTCCATAAAATAAACCTAGGGGGTAAATTTAATTGATTCAGTGGTGTAGGATTATTTTCTACGTGGAGGACACAAAATAATTACCAAAAATAAAGTTATACTTTGAACACCATTTGTATTGTTACCTTAAAATCAGAATGTTTTTTAAGCACATTGAATGCGATTCCTTGTCCAATATAAAATAAATTAATTAAATAAGAAAAAGTACCGATTTGGAAATTATTGTTCTAAAGACGAGGAATCATATCCTAATATACAGGGTGCACCATATTTAAGTATTCTTCTATGTATGGGTACCTTTTTTATTCAACTTCATTAAAATGGCATTTAAAAATTGGTAAAAAATCAGAGGTTCTCAAATAAGTTTAAAAAAATTGAAAACCTGTTAAAACCAAAAAACGTTATAACTTTGTTATATCTAGAATTAAAAAGAAAGTAACTTTTAAACATATTTATATACATTTTTATCCAATTTGTGATTTTTTTTGCATACTAGATTTCTAGATACCACCCTGATAGCACACTTTATTCTAAGAATGTTTTTTAAACCTTCCGGTGAGAATATTTTTAGGATCATGCTATATTTCTTCTAAAGAACATGCTTAAAAGACAATCTTCAATCTAATCTGACTTATCTTTTACAATTTTACTTTTTATGAAATAATGTCATATAACTTATGGTTTATAGGTCAAATTATTTATTAATTATTTTTAAATAAATATATATTAATATGTCGCAAAAATTTTTAAGGGGACGACAAATACATTTCAATGACATTATGACAGTGAGACGTATTTCTCGTATCCTGAAGAATTTTACGAATGTAGAATACAGCATATTAGAACGTGGGTATCTGACATATTTGGAAATATTCTCAAAAGCTTCCTAGAAGCTCCATAAGAAACCTTTTAAGAACATTCAAAAAACGTATTCTTAAAATGTTCTTAGGATGCTTTTTAGGAAGATTTTAAGAAGCTTTTAAGAATCTAATTGCATCATTAAAAGGGTATCTATTGAATGTTTTAAAAGTCCCTAAGAAAATTCTTAGCAATAAGGGAAGGTTCTAAGAATATTCCATTATTCCGGGTCATATCTTCTTAGAAGATTCTTAAAATCAAATTTTGCTATCAGAGCCACTATTTTGTCTTTTTCTATGGCCGCTAAATTGGAATTTTATATGGTTAGATAAAAAAAATCATGGAATCCAACGATGCATCAAACTACATAAGCAGGCCATTAAAAAAAATAAAATATGGTGGAGGAAACTAAAAACATAATAGCGAAATTGGACAAACATGTAAATCAATGAGAATATCTGGCTTGTAATTACCCAACTTTTCACTTATTAGGCTTTCAAATTAAAAAAAAATGCCCATGGAAGGATAATTGGTGCTCCCTGTGCACTTACAAAACAACCTGAATAACTATATACTGTTAGTACTTCAAACCCTTATCCAAGTTATTTTTTAAAACTAAGTTTTTTGCATACGGTAGATATTTATGTACACGGACTTAAATATTTAGGGATAACTATTTTTGGTACTTATCACTCAAACCGACTCATACTATTAAATCAAAGTAAAAAAATATAGCTTAATTGAAATATCTACAAAACAAAAAAAACATTTTTCTTCAAAAATATTACATTATTAATTCGTTGTTTACAAAAAATTATAATCTACCAAAATAATATTTTTAAAGAAAAAACATTAAAAACAAAAAAAACTAAAACATAATTTGTGAGGCAAAAATAAACAAAAAAACATAATTCACATTCACGATATTGCCAGCACTGGTGTAAGTATTATAGGTATAGTATTGTTCGTGCTCACCTCTGGCAGTTTTAACTTTAATTTGGGCCGGTGAACTGTCACCAATGGCGTTGTGCGCCCTTAATTCGATTTTATATGTGGTGTCAGGTCTCAGGTGATTCAGTTGGTAGCTTGTGTATTGCACTGATTGAGTGAATTGTTCGGTACATTCCGTGTCGCGCCAAACACCATTAACCTTGTTGGCCTAAAAAAATAATGCACATAAGTTTAAAAGTATTTAAATTAAATTCCTTAAAATGTATGTACAAGTAAAACTGCAGTTATTAAGCTATTAAAATCTAAAAACAACCCAAGCAGCATTTTTGGTTCCAAAAACCATTACCAAAGTGGTGATAACTTTAAATTAGTTAAGTATACTAAACAGCTACTTTAATTTTTACTTAAAAGTAATTCTAACTTTTAAATAGCAATATTTTGTAACAGAAACTTCATTCTTTCCTTAAATGTTTACTATAAAGTAATAAACATTTAAGTAAAACTTGGTTGCCCCCAGGAAGACTTTGCAACTTTAAAAAAGGTGTTATAAGTAAAAAAAAACTTTCAAGTAAATTTAATTTGTAGCAGTTACTTTCGGTTGCTACCTAAAGATTACATTATAATTATTTTTACTTTGTAGTCCCTTTGTAAGTTAAAATCTCGAAACTGGAACATAAGTTAAAAACTACAAAGTTTATAACTTAAAAGTTATTATTTTAGTATTTGGAACGTTTATGGTACTTACCAAAACTACCGTATAGTAAATTAAGGTGGAAAAAAACTTTAAAGTATCGAAAACTACTACAAAGGAAAATGCTTCTTATCGGCCATTTTTTACTGTACAGTACCACGTGGTAATGTAAATAATAAATTATTTAAATCTTTTGTAAAAGGTTGTTTACTTCTTAATAAATAGTAATTTTGTTGGTAATAGACGGTATTAATAATTAAATAAAAAAATAAGATTTTTTTATTTATAAACATTATTAAATAAATAATTTGTTTATACTTAAATTTTGATGAAGCGTAAAAACTAAATTCATAAGTTCAACAGTAAAATTTAAAGGGTTTATAAATTTACCTGCATTATTAAACATTATATTGTTATTCTGGAAGTTATAAACTACCAGTACATATGTAATTTAATAAATGACGACATTGAAATGCCAAGTCCGTAGTGGTTCCATTTAAAAAAGGAGGGATAGTATAATCTAATATAAGTTTGACAAAGAGAGTTAATATAAAAGTAAAAACAAATAAATAAAAGTAATTATAACGCTCTAGCAACGATATTGAAACTTTCTAGTAACCTAACAGCTACGTTCCAAATAGTAGCAGGGTTTATAGCTAGTGACATATTTGTTACCTTTTTGGAACTCAAGAATTGTTCCCTACTTTAGTCGTAACTTAGTAATGAAAGAGTTATATAAAGAGACCGGCGACTGTCGCAAAACACTTATACGTAACAAATACTTAAATTGTTGCTTGGGAATGTGCTTACCTCGCAATATCTGATCAAGTAATGTTGGATAGGATCGCCATTATCGTTGGGAACATTCCATCTAAGTTCATAGTGATCAGCGTACTGACTAACAGTAATCCTGTCTTCCCTGTTAACGTAATTATCCTTTTGGTCCCTCACGTTGTGATCCTCAAGAAGGATTTTAGGTTCTGCAGGTTCGGATCTGCGCGGCATCGTGAGACTCTGAGCGTCGAGGAAGGGGCCCATACCGACATCGTTTTTGGCGGCGAACCGGAAATGGTACGTCGCTTCCGGTATAAGATTTTCGAGGATGTAGGGTGCACCGTTCGACCAAGTGTGGTTGAAGGCATAGTCCCAGTTCAGTTGAGTTTCGGGCCTGTATCTAACGGTGTAACTGCGAATCGGCATTCCGTCGAAGTCGTTTGGCTGGACGATGCTAAACTTGATGGTTGTGGCTGTGATTCTTTCCACTCTCACTTGGTTAATGATTTGTGGGACAAATCCCTGTTTTAGGAAGATTTTTGTGGTGTTTACGCCGAGTTTGTTGGAAGCCGTGCATTCGTATTGCGTGTAGAAACGAACGTCATTGAATGGGAGTACGATTAAGTTTGATACGGGGCCGTTGCCGATGATTTTAAAGTTACTGTTATTGCGGTCGATGACGATGTTATTAAATTTCCAGATAATGGTCGCGTTTGGAATGGCTTCCGGAAGACATGACAGATTTCCTGGCCTTCCGTTCCAACTCCATACAGGAGGAAGATCCTTGAATCTAAAACGAATTTATGAATTTGTAATCAAAACATTTTTATAAGAATATCTTTAGAAAGTATTTAGGGATATATTAACAACCTACCTTTCGAATGATGGTGGGAATTCAATGGTGATATGTCCATTGGTATAAGCACCTCCAGCAATATTTTCGGAAATACATTCATATAAACCATCATCAGACCTTACCAAATCCTTAATGGTAAGAATACCAAAACTTTCGCCTTTTTCTTCGAAATATTGTTGTTCCAAAACAATTCTTTTGTCGGTTAGTTGTGGACCTACACGGAATGGTTCGCGAGATGTTACTTTTCTAAATGTTACCTTTGGTGCAGGTCGACCTAAAAATTAATTTTGTAAAAATATTGCCACCTTAGATGTTTCGAATTATACCTTGAGATTTGCAGATTAGCTTGGTTTCAGTCTTGATAGGCGCAGTAACGTTTAAAAGCTCATAAATCTTGGGTTTTACTCTGACATTAATTTTAACAGCAGTACTGGTCCTTCCGGCAGGATTCTCGGCAATACATTTATACATGGAGTCATCGTTGAATTCCACTCTGTTAATAATGAGTTCTCCAGTGTTTTTCTTAACGTCAAATCTATCGGTACGTGCAAGATCCTCGCGAGTTTTTTCCTTGATCCATGTGAAGGTTGGTGGAGGTTTACCATGAGCTGAGCATGTTACCGAAGCTGTTTCTCCTTCAACCACAGATATGGTGTTCATCGGTACAATTTTTGGAGGCACTTGTACTTCAACCTAAACAAACAAATTTTAGTAAGAATCAAAATTCAAAAAGTCTATTTCTTACCTTAATATCTCTGGTTTTAATTTGCCCAGTGCTTAGTACTACAGCAGTACACTTGTAGACACCGTCATCAGCTTCAGTGACGTTTTTGATTAATAACTCATCGGTACCAACCACAAACTTATTGTTAGTAATAATGGTTTCACCATTTTTGTTCCAATCGATCATTGGTGATGGATTTCCATGTACTTTACATTTTACATTGAAATCTTGACCAACAATTGGATATTGCGATAAAGGGGCGTCCACAAAATTAATATCAACTAAAAAAATATATAAATTAAAGCATGGTAATTAAGCATAGCATTAATATGAGTTATAATGTTTGTCTCGTACATTTTGTTCATAATAAACCTCACTAAATATTGTAGTTGTATAATTGTAAAAACTCATTACAATGAACTGCCATTTAAAATAAAAATTGTGCTTTTGTTTAAATTAATAAAGTTTTGTTAATATGAAACTAAAACAGCACAAAACAAACAAAGTAGGTTTATTTTATGATTTAGCAAAGGATTTATTTTATTTAAAATATTACTATAATATTATTAGGTCAGTAATGAATTATTTTATGATATTTATTGTTACAATAGTTAAATAATTAATATTATTTTAATCTAAGGCTTTTGTTTATAATATAGATTAACAAAAGTAAATCAATACTGTATACTAAAAAGTTGTTGGTGCTCTAATATAATGCATTAATGTAAATAAAAAATTATTGTAAAATAAAATAAATAATTTTATTTATTGAGTACCTAAATAAAACATTTTATTTTATTTTAAAATTTCATCATTAATAGTGATATTTGTTGAAAGAACCCAATTTAGAGCAGTTACTGAAGGTATAATAAAATTTATTATAATATATTTTTCCACAGCATTGGAAATTAATTGATAATTTATAAATAAACAGTAAAGTTTATTTATAAAATCTATACTAAATTTTTAATGTATAGGTAAAGTAAAAAAGAATATTTGCTAAACATTTTTTTTTCTGTTCAACAGAATAGTTACACTGTTAAACCTTTAAGGTAATTAGTAAAACACTTTATTTATACTTTTTAATTTAATATGTTTTGGTTTTTGAACAAAATTATTAGTTTGTTTTGTTAAATATATTGTTTAATGTATTTTGTTTAATATATAATGTATATTTATGTATATATTCAAAATCACTTTAGAATCAGCTTACCGTAAGTTGTGACCGAAACAGAAGATTGTATAGTTTCCGATGCATAATTCGCTTGGCAAGTGTAGCTTCCTCCCTGGTTTTCCGTTAAGCTTGTAAATATTAAAACAATTCCCGGCTCACCCGGCAAAGCCTAAAACAAAATTAAATTCGCATTAAATAAAATTGGTTTTAAATTGAAAAACCAACATTAATCCTTAAAAATGGCATTTGGGATTTTAAACGTTTCCGTTTACACTAAATTTACAAACCGAACTATTTTTTCTTTATTAATGATTGTACAATAAAATATGTATCCTTGTTTGATGTATCATTTTTGTTTTAAAGAGTAATAAATCATTTACTTCTCTTTGTATTCATAATAAGTGGAAATAGTATGTATTTATCTAACTCTCAAATTTGCTGATGGATACTGGTCAACATATAAAAGTTACATTTAAGTTGAAAGTTTATCTTCATTTGTCGAGAAAACTTTATATAAATAGCTCAGTTTTATAAATCTTTTGGGATATGGAAAAATAAAATAAAACCGTCTTATTTTAATAAAAAAGTTTTAAACTTATTAGATAAAAAGGATTTGTTAACAAATCACTAATGGAAAATTCCTTAATAAGTCTAATTCTCGAGTATTAAAATTATTAAGAAAAGAAGATATGCTTCTAGTTTTTTATTTAACATTTATTTATATTATTAATATTATACATACTGAGAAAATGAAAAACCAGCTTTAAACTTTTTATTAAAATAAAAAATGTCTAGTTCTCAAGAAGATTAAAAAAATAATTTGTTTTTGTTTGCAAATTTTAAGTTAAACATTATTTAATATTATTTGTGTTTAGAAAGATAACATCAATTTAAAAAAACACCCATTTCATTTCAACGGTGAGCAAAATTTTACTTCGCTCACAGGCCGAAGTTAACTTTAAGTTAAAATTTAAAAAAGTGGGGTTAAAACTGCTTGACAGTTGTCAGATGAAATAAAATTGGGTTTAATTCCTTGCGGTAGTTGAATAAAATATTATGTGCAAATATTGGTCAAAGGGGGAAACTCAAGGCTAGCGAAATCTCATCTTTCTCTCTCTAGTCGTATACATTTTCAAATCAAATTAAATTAAATGCATCCCTACCTTAAAACTATTAATATAAAACAGTAATTTCAAACGCGCGAAACAAAAAAAATATTTAACGTCCCATCCACTCATTTCAATTATAAAAATTATCTCTACTTTTATAAAATATTTCTTTCGTTTTTTTTTAATTTAATAATAAAACAAGAATATATTTGACACTTCGCGTTAAAATTAAAGGATAATAAGTAAAAATTTTTTACTCTAAAACGCCTTTACCAATCTTCATGAAATTTTGTATAAAAATATACAACTTATATCTCAGTTTAAATGTTCGAGGGTTTTTCGAGAAAATATTTTTAAAGCCCCTTTAATTTACTAATAAAAAAACGTTCGAAAAATAACTTTTAGGGAAATTTTTTAAGAAAATAAAAAAATATGCTGTTAAAGACCGTATTTTTGTTAGTATACCCTGAAAATTTTGTACAAATCAAAATAACAGTAACGAAGATACAGCGTTTCGTTTGATTTGTACAACATTTTAAGGGTATACTTACAAAAATACGGTCTTTCACAGCATATTTTTAATTTTTTTTTTAATTTTCCTATAAATTTTTTTTTTCGAGCGTTTTTTATTATTAAGTAAAAGGCTTTAAGGATATTTTCTCGAAAAACCTTGAACAAGTAAACTGAGCTATAAGTTAAAGTATTTTTATGCAAAATTTAAAGGCGTTTTAGGGTCGGATTTTTTTTACTTGTTATGCGTTAATTTTGACGGGCAGTGTATAATAAATTACCAAAAAATTTTTTTATATGCTTGAAATGGCCAAAAAGCATTCTCATAATATTTCATCTAAATTCTTAAAAATATTAAACAATTTAAAATATATATATATATATATATATATATATATATATATATATATATATATATATATATATATATATATATATATATATATATATATATATATATATATTAGATTAAACTTCTGAATTAAGAATGTCTCTCTGAAAGGTATTAAAATTAACAACAAAAACAACAAAGGAAAAAATAATAAAAAAATCAAAACTTGATCGTGTAAATCAAATCAAAAACAAAATATAAATCATAAAACATTTTCTCACCGATGTGTAAAGAGATTGACTTCTTATGCTATCTACACGTTTGCCAAATTGATCTATCCATTCCAGCTGGGTGACCATTTTCGGATTTTCCGCTTTTGGTCGACATGTTAGCGCCAAACTCGAACCAACTTCTTTGTTGATTGCTTTCGGCTGAATTTCTAGAGAGGGTTTCTCCTGGGCGAAAACAACTGAAACAAATAAAATATAATCAGCAAAATTTAAAATTTAGCAGTGTTGAAAGTTTGCGCTAGATAGTAAAACAAACAATATGAAAAATCCCAGGATGTTTTTCTCTTTAAAGTAATCTCTAATGAATTCTGGTGGTCAGTTAACCTTTAAAGCTCAGGTGGCTTAAGAGTAAAGTCTCTGTTGAAAAGGTCGTAAAACGCCATTAAATATTGTATACGATAGGTGTTTTCGTTCCCTTTTTACTCAAAGGGGATTAAGGAAGGCCTATTTCATATAATATTAATGAAATAAGCCCTTTGCATAAAGTTTATCCTTAGCGATCCCGTTAAAATTCATAGTTTTACGTTTACACATCGATGCAAATTTACTTTTTTTAGAATACATCTACGAGGTGTGTTCAGAAAATAACGGGAATTGTTAAATTTCGCGGGTTCGGAGGGTCCGGTTGTCATAAAATTTTCTTTATTATGTTGGTATATATGCCCCCGAAGTATGATAAAAACTTTAGTTGTTTTCATTGTTTACTTTGTCTGTGGCAGCCGCTAAGGTTAGACGTGTTTTATGAGCCCGGCGATTTTTCGTTCGTTAAAAGAAATGGATCAAAGAATTTGTATCCAATTTTGCTTAAAAAATGAAATAAATTCTGTGAAATGTTAACAAAGGCCTATAGTGAGTCTGCTATAAGTAAAATAAGAGTTTCCAAGATGGCCGGGAAGACGTTGAAGAAGACGAACGCCCCAAACGCACAAGCGCATTAACAACCGATAAAAACATGAAAAAAGTGGAAGAAATGATTATAAACCATCAGAGAAGTGGCTGATGATGTTGGTATATCGATTGGCTCATCCCATGAAATTTTTTCGAATGTTTTGGGTATGAAACGCGTGGCAGCAAAATTTGTTCTAAAATTGTTAAATTTTGAACAACATTTTTGGCCAAAAACAATACTGTAATGATGCCCCAGCCTCCATATTCGCCAGACATGCCTCTGTCTGACTTTTTCCTTTTCCCAAAAATAAAGAGAACCTTAAAGGGCCGTCGTTTTGCAAGCATAGATGACATTAAAAGCGCATCGCTGAAATAACTAAAGGCTATCCCAAAGATCGAGTTTTAGAAGTGTTTCGAGAATTGGAAGAAGAGCTGGCACATGTGCATAATATCCAATGGGGACTATTTTGAGACGACAACATTAATGTAGACGAATAAATACATATTTGTTTCAAAAAACTAAAATTCCCGATATTTTCTGAACACACCTCGCACATTACTATATTACTAGACAAATTTTTTGTATGAGATAAAAAATAGAATAAAATGTCAGTTATTATAAAAAATTATTAAATACAATTTTTTCAAAAAAATTTGTTAAATGAAAAAGTAATGATGATAAATAAATTTAAGCTCAATTATCGGATTTGGTTTATTTTCAATGTAGGCAACCCAGATTACACGTGTATATAATACTGGAACAGAACAGACCAACAACAAACACACTTGTACGTTGCCTACATTCAGACATGCTTATATTTAACATACTATAAAAGGCGATTAAAAAAAATTATTTTAATTATTGTCATAGAACTAACTTTAGTTTATTGTTACATTTATTTTTATTTAATAATTTTTCGTTCTGTTTTTTACGCATATTTAAATTATTAAACAGTATAATTTTTGAGGCAGAGCGTTAAAATAGGACGGTCAGGTATGAGGCGCCGTTTGTGTCAAAATTAAAAGTGCTAAATAAACTTATTTTGTTTTATAAATAATTAATTATATGCTTTATAAAATTATTATTACTTTTGATTCGCAGAAAATTATTTTATAAAAAAATAATTTTATAAAAAAAGTTATTTTATAAAAAAATTATTTTATAAAGAAATAATTTTATAAAAAAAAATTATTTTATAAAAAAAAATTATTTTATAAAAAATAATTATTTTATAAAAAAATAATTTTATAAAAAAAAATTATTTTATAAAAAAAAAATATTTTATAAAAAAAAATTATTTTATAAAAAAATAATTTTATAAAAAAAAATTATTTTATAAAAGACGACGGGCGCATTTATAAATTAATTTTTACAGCAGCCATCTCTCTTTGTTTGTAGACACTCGAGTAAACCCGAGTGAACCCGAACGCCCTTCCCCAGATACAATTTTATGACGAACTCGGCTTTTGTTTGACGCAATTTGGGGAAACGATTGAAAATAATAATTTATTATTTTTATTAATTAATTTTTTTATCTACATTTATTTTGATTTTTAGTTTTTAACAAGAATTCTTTATGTTTAAACGTTTTTTATAAGAAAGCACTTTTAGTTAAATGCAAAACAAATAATGATTTACACCTTTATCTAATAATTAACTGTTAAAATTGATTACCTTACATTTTAAATATCTAAATTTTTAAAAGTAAATTAACTCAACCTTTAATTCGACACCTGAGTCCCCGGGACTCGCATGCGAATTTTGTTGGCGCCTAAAGCCTAATTTAAAGATTGCCTTTCTCCTTTCTCCTTTCTCCTTTCTCCCTTCCCCCCGTAAAAGATGAACAATACGATCACCGTAGTGTTGTTTATAGATTTTAACAGTTAATTATTAGTTAAAGGTGTAAATCATTATTTGTTTTGCATTTAACTAGAAGTGCTTTCTTATAAAAAACGCATATACCTATAATTATAATAAGGTATAAAATTGCATCTGGGGAGGGGCGTTCGGGTTCACTCGGGTTTACTCGAGTTACAAACAAATAGAGATGGCTGCAGTAAAAATTAATTTATAAATGCACCCGTCGTCTTTTATAAAATAATTTTTTTTTATAAAATAATTTTTTTATAAAATAATTTTTTTTTATAAAATAATTTTTTTGTATAAAATAATTTTTTTTTATAAAATTATTTCTTTATAAAATTATTTTTTTATAAAATAATTTTTTTATAAAATAATTTTTTTATAAAATTATTTCTTTATAAAATAATTTTTTTATAAAATAATTTTTATTTATAAAATAATTTTTTTTTATAAAATAATTTTTTTTTATAAAATTATTTTTTTATCAAATAATTTTTTTTTATAAAATAATATTTTTTTATAAAATTATTTCTTTATAAAATTATTTTTTTATAAAATAATTTTTTTTTATAAAATTATTTCTTTATAAAATAATTTTTTTATAAAATATTTTTTTTATAAAATTATTTCTTTATAAAATAATTTTTTTATAAAATAATTTTTATTTATAAAATTATTTTTTTATAAAATAATTTTCTGCGAATCAAAAATTATTTTATAAAAGACGACGGGCGCATTTATAAATTAATTTTTACAGCAGCCATCTCTCTTTGTTTGTAAACCCGAGTGAACCCGAACGCCCCTCCCCAGATACAATTTTATGACGGACTGTGCTTTTGTTTGACGCAATTTGGGGAAACGATTGAAAATAATAATTTATTATTTTTATTAATTAATTAATTAATTTTTTCATCTACATTTATTTTGATTTTTAGTTTTTAACAAGAATTCTTTATGTTTAAACGTTTTTTCATATACCTTTAATTATAGGTATATGCGTTTTTTATAAGAAAGCACTTCTAGTTAAATGCAAAACAAATAATGATACACCTTTAACTAATAATTAACTGTTAAAATCTATAAACAGCACTACGGTGATCGTATTGTTCATCTTTTACGGGAGGAAGTCCCGGGGACTCAGGTGTCGAATTAAAGGTTAAGTTAATTTACTTTTAAAAATTTAGATATTTAAAATGTAAGGTAATCAATTTTAACAGTTAATTATTAGATAAAGGTGTAAATCATTATTTGTTTTGCATTTAACTAAAAGTGCTTTCTTATAAAAAACATAAAGAATTCTTGTTAAAAACTAAAAATCAAAATAAATGTAGATAAAAAAATTAATTAATCAATTAATAAAAATAATAAATTATTATTTTCAATCGTTTCCCCAAATTGCGTCAAACAAAAGCCGAGTCCGTCATAAAATTGTATCTGGCGAAGAGCGTTCGGGTTCACTCGGGTTTACTCGGGTGTCTACAAACAAAGAGAGATGGCTGCTGTAAAAATTAATTTATAAATGCGCCCGTCGTCTTTTATAAAATAATTTTTTTTTATAAAATTATTTTTTTATAAAATAATTTTTTTTTTATAAAATAATTTTTTTTTATAAAATTATTTTTTTATAAAATATTTTTTTTTTTATAAAATAATTTTTTTATAAAATAATTTTCTGCGAATCAAAAGTAATAATAATTTTATAAAGCATATAATTAATTATTTATAAAACAAAATAAGTTTATTTAGCACTTTTAATTTTGACACAAACGGCGCCTCATAGTCAGGGTTTACAGTGGTTTAGTTATTACTAATTAGCTTACATTTTCCACAAAAATTAACCAATTTAAAAAAATAAAAATTACATTAAAAAACATATCCTCAAAGTTTTGTCAAACCCTCCCGGTTGTAATCTTAATCTTAATAACACCCTTGCATTGCAATTAGCTATGTATGCAGCTTGCAAGGCTTGCAAGCTGCATACATAGCTAATTTGAGTACCTATATTTTTAATAGACCTTTTATTATTTATTTTATAATTTACTTATTATTTATAAAAAACTATTTTAAATAATATTAATTATAATCTATTTCACCAAGAAATAATTTTGCGCTCTAATAATTATAATTATTAGAGTCTAATTTCATATTTTATAAAAGTGCCAAATATTACGTTTGTAATCGCTTCGGTAGATGGCGCTAACACAATGAAACCCCACATGTGTGGAAGCCTCGATTGAACCAATACAAGACGTAGGTAACAAATAATAAAATAGAAATTTTACCTCCTGCCCAAAACCTTAAGCACATCTAAAATTATCAGAGATATCAGAGCCGACCTGGGGCAGCAATGCCATTAAATCCGCCTCTGAGAATAAGCATATATAATATAATAATTAAAGTTAAAAATTAATAAATAAATGCTACTTT